TATTTGATAATATTTTTTTCCTTTGAATTTTTTTTATATTTTTTTTTTTTAAATTTATTTTGGATTTGTGTTTTTTTTTTCCGTCTTTGTATTTCAATTGAAATTTTTGAGAGAGGGGCAAGCTGGGGAAGGGGGGGGGGTTTGGTGTTTGGGGGGGGGGGGGGGGGGGGGGGGGGGGGGGGGAATGCTGGTTGGATTCGGGAAGCACCATTTCAAAACTGCATAACCCCCCCTCAACTTGTCATTTTTTTACATGGCCCCCCTTGAAGCGGTAATCTTTTCGGATGACCCCCCCCCAAAAAAAAAATAATAATAGTAATAATAATAATAATAATAATAATAATAATAATAATAATAATAACCCTCTCCCAAGATTTTACCTTTTTTGATATTCTCTGTTATTCCCTACTTCACGTGATTGTACTTGCTACATGTATGAATACAATATTTACAATTTCTAATACTAATACAGAGAGCTGTTTATCAGAAAGCACAAATCAAAAGAAAGAGAAGTCAGTTTCGGATCTCCTAGTGATAGCTGGTCCTGAGCGTGTGGCATTGGGCATCTTCTTCATTTGAATCGCAAATTAATGCAAGAATGACATCACTTGAGTCATCTCCACAAGAGTCAATTGCATCACTGTCATACTCATCATTGTCTCTTTCATCCGTTTCACTGCTTTCAGCACTTACCCTGTTGTCATTTTGTGTCAATGTCCTAGTATTTCTCAGTGTTGGTTGGCCAACTCTGAGAGGACTCGTTTGCTGCCAGCAATGTCTTAACAATTATCTTTACTTTCTCACTCTTGCTGCTCTTCAAATTCTGCTTTTGACCGTGGTGGTTTAAGTATTTGTTTAGTTGTGGAACACCTAGCTTTTTAAGCTTGGTTACATCTTCGCACAGCGAAGAATTTGCGCACAGTTTCAACGTAAACCAGATCGAATGTATAGAAGCTAAGTTGACGAAGATCACGCAAGACATGGAAGCACTAGAAAACAAGAGGAGAAGTTATGATAGCATATTCAAGGGCATACACAAACAGCACATCAACAAAAGGAGAAGGAAAAACGAAAACTGCAGAAAGTCAAATGAAAGAAAGAGGAAGCGGACTGAAGCCAATGTCCGACGAGTTTATGGAATCTGTGTTGGAAACCCGCAAGGAAATGATCGTCCACAATGACTTGTGTAACCTCCTAGCCTGGCCGTCCCGGAAGAGTGTATCAAATATGAGGATGTTGCCACATCGTTATTTGGACGAGATGGGCCACACATCGCACAGCTCTTGGAAGGGAATTATTTCAGCAATGCTGCAAGAAGCAGAATCACCACCAACCTTCAGCAAGAAGTCAGAGACTATGTTTACACCTTCATGTACCCTGAAGAGTACACTCTGACTGAAAGCAATTCCAAAACTGACTCCCACAGCAGCACAACCGGCGAAGAAGAGCTCGATGACAGTGAAGATTAAGATGAGTGCCAGCGAAAGTTGTATTAGACAACAACGAAACCTAAAACAAGAGTCTTTTATAATTGTTTAAAGTTCCTTTTAGTAGCTCCAAAGAGAAGAGAAAATTGCCAAGAACCATGACTCTTGGAGTTGGAGACAATCTTCATTGGGGTAGAAAGTCTATTGAATTCGAGACCTTTAAAAGCTGTGAGTGACTACCCTAACGACGACCGTGTCTTGAATCCAAATCACTTTCTGATGGGGCAGACGGGTGGTAATTTTGTACCGGACACCGAGCCATTTAATCCCAGAAAGCGCCGGAGAACTGAGAGTAAGATAGATGAAAGAATACTTACCGCAGATTGGATCAAGACAGAAATCGTACTTCCGTAACGACAATTTGCGGGTTGGAGATGTTGTCGTTGTTATTGATCCCGGCACAGTGAGGCGACAGTGGAATGTTGGGCGCATCGAGCAGACGGGCCCTGACGACCTTGTGCGAGTGGTGGACGTACGGGTTAATGGCAAGACCCTTAAGCGACCAATAACTAGTAGAATATCTCCGCTGGAGATGCGAATCACCGAAGCATAATCCGGTTAATGTGTAACAAGAACAGTTCAAAGAACTATGATATTTAAACTAAGGATGTATTTCAGTTAAAATGTACGGGAATTTCAGATCCTCTGTAATTCGGGATGGGAAGAAATGTAAGACATTTTGCGTTGCGTTACACATTACGTCATAGGGTCAAGTGACTTTGTTGGAGAACTTGAGACTTTTTTAGAGTTTTAACTTGGAACTTGGACTCGAGAAGCGTCGGGTTAGATTAAGGAATTTAGTGTGGATTTAATTGTTAGTGTTTACGGAACAGAAACAATAGCTGATCCATGCGACTTCGCTTGTCAGAATTCAATCACGCAATATTCGGAGTCTCGTTTTGTTTTACGTTTGTTTACCGGCGAATATAAATTATGCCCCGTTAAGTTGATACGAATGTTTTGACGACAAGCCGAAGCGTGAAAGGGCACCTGGAAAGTCGGAAACCGGAATCCGGAATAGGAACGGGAATGGGAATAGGAACCGGAAACGGAAACAGAACGGAACAGGAACATTAATGTGAAGGGGAACCGATACAAGAACAGGGACATCATTTACCTTTATTTATTTTAATTCTGTATCAATTTATATGAAAAATAAGAAAACTAGCCTGCTATCATGCTCCCCCCCTGAAACTCTATATATTACGGCAACGAGAAGGTGAAAAAAGCAGCACGTTTAATAAGTAAAGCAACAGCTTTGCAAGTGCATCGCGCTCTCTGTTAATTCCTTCACCGTCTATGCACAACTACGACGTGAAATGATCAAATCTTAAGTTCTCTTGAGAACGTGAAGGTGAACATGAATTCAGATCCTATGTACACTTTCTTCTTTCTTGTTACTTTTT